GCGCCGCTGGCCTGGTCCCAACCTCAGGCCTTTGCGCTCCAGCGCTGAACCTTGCCCAGCCCTGCTGAGGGCATCGGTGGCTCGCGCTCCAGGATCTCTGCCCGCCCCGCAGGGCCTGCGGACCGCCCGTTCCCCTCCTAAACGGGAAGAAAACACCAGATGGAGGCCTGGGAGCAGGACGAAGAGACTCTGCCGCTCTCTGACTAACGCTGGTGCCTTCGCGCTGGCACTCCATTGTGCAGCTCCTCCGCTCCTCATCCCACCTTCCTCCAGCCGACACGGGAAGGGCTGCACAGGAGCCCAGCAGCCCGGAGCCCACCCTAGGTGACACTCGGGGACACTGCACAGGGGTGGCCCTTCATCAGTGGAGATCCCCTGTTGGGGGCCAGGATTCGGGGACGGTGACAAGTCAGGTTGTATCTCTACTGAGCGACACCTTTAGTACCGCTAAACTAGACCTGACCATTTGCAATAAAGCTGTCTCCTCACCTTCTCCAAGGCCAGAGCTTTTGACGGCACCAGTTGCTGGTCTGTGTGGGAGGATTGGGTCCGAGCCGGTGTCCAGCCCATGGCTGTAGGAGACAAACTGCGTGAGACCCAGAGCAGGTCTGGTCCCTAAGCGTGGGCCACAGGATGCTTTGCATTTCGTCCTGCCTGTAACCCTCCTGGCCCCAAGCCCTGCCCTAATTCCCAGGAGTTTCTTCCTAAGGGCTTGATCAACAAAGAACAGGCTTTAGTAAGTCAGTGCCAGGGATGACAGGAGTGTGGGAAGACCATGAGGGTCCTGGTGCTCCCAGGGGACAAGGGACAAGGACAAGAGATGGAATCAGGGGAGGGAAGGAGGCCTGAGGAGACCCAGTCCAGGCAGCAGGCAGGGCGCCACTGAGCGCCAGCACGGCTGTCCCCTGCCAGGGACAGGCTGGGGGGACGCACTGAGCATCACAGCAGGGACTGGAGCTCATGCCCAGCTGCGCAGGGACATGAGATTGCTCATGGGGACAAGTCCAAGGTTCCCATCTCTGCAGAGAGACTCTCCCCCCAAGGAAACTGAGTGCCCACGCCAGGAGCACTGCAATACCCTTGCTGCCCAGTCCGGTGGGGGACACATCTGGGACTCAGGGCTAAGCCACCCCTGTCCCCAGAAAGGTGAAGGAAGGATCTCCCCACTGTGTGTCCTGCCTGGCTGGAGAGGCGCCTACCATGGCACCATGCCAGGCAGCCCCGGGGGTCCCTGCCATCGGGGCTGCACCAGGAGGAGCAAAGGGATGGATGGGGTGGGCACAGCGCACGATGGGCAGCAAGAGCCAGGGCACGGCAGTTGCTGGCAAAGAGAGGAGGGCAGGAAGTCACCAGAGTCCCAGAGGAAATGAAATAAGCCCAGGCTGACCTCAGCAGTGCGATAGCAAAGCTTAAATAGAAAAGGAAGCAAAGTGCCCAGAACATGCGAAGAGGTGCATGTCCAGGAGAAGGGCTGCTTCGTGACCTGCCGCAGCCCGGCCATGAGGCTCTTCCAGCTGCTCGCCTGCATGCTCCTGCCAGGTAGGGCCAGGGGGAGCCCAGTGGTTTGGACCAAACCAGGCTGCCCTGAGTGGGGCCGGGCTGGCCGGCACAGCCCGACGGCGCGGGACGAGCAGGGCGGGCAGCAG